GGAAAACGGGAATGGTATTGTCAATACAGTAGCTATTGATGAGGCAGGATTACAAAAGATGGGCCAAACTATCTCTGATGCCACCAACCCAGCTTTACCACTGGCAAGTCACTTATTTACACTGGGGTGTCAGATAAAAGAGCCAGTGGGAGATTCCAAGTTGTTCCTGGAATCCTGTGAAGTTTTCCAGTGAGCACTTGCTCATGAACCTTCCTGCTTATGAGAATACTGAGCTTGCTGCCAGCCTTATCACAGGCTGTGGACATTCCCCCCTGGTAATGGGCATTTCCAAGTGGTGTCCTTCTCTTCTCCCCCACAACACAGTGCCACAGCCCTGTCTGTACTTGCTTTATACAACCCTGTGTAAAGGATGAATGTCAGGGATGACCTAGAGGTGACCTAAAAATCCAGAGCACAGAATTTTCCCCCCTTATTTATGCCACTGAGTACTCCAATCACTGCCCTCTTCCCAGCAATTCTTGGTGTGTTCTCTTCAGTGAGAATGACAATATATAATACTCAAGCCTAGGGCAGTGCTTACAGAGTTAGACTGGACTATTCTAAATCCATGTGTTTACATAACTTGCATCTTTCTGAGAGTCCTCTTCTTTGAGGCCATCGAGTCTAGTAAATCTCCATCAGTGCATTTATTAGTCATACTCCCTTCCCTACCATCTAAATACCAAAATTGGAAAATTCCAACATAAAATGATATTCTTGGGCTGGGAAGGTGGCTCAGTGGTAGAATGCTTGCCTTGCATGCATAAGGCCCTGGGTTCCATTCCTCAGCACCACATAAGCAGAAAAAGCTGGAAGTGGCACTGTGGCTCAAGTGGTAGAGCGCTAGCCTTGAGCTGAAGAGCTGAGGGACGGCGCCCAGGCCCAGAGTTCAGGCCCCATAGCCGACAAAAAAAAAAAAATATTCTTGGAAGTTACACTGTGCTCACACGTAAGGGAAAATGTGGCTCTATCACACACATTCAAATTACCTCACACAGGTATGGAAGACATTGGCTCTTCTTGTGTTCCTATGACTCGTTTATTAACTGAATAAATATCAACTGTTTGCCATTTTGTAACAAATACCTTAGATTATTACCTGTGGTATTATCAGTCTATGTAGGTTGACTCATTGCTCCCACTAGGTCCTACTTTTTTTTTTTTTTTTGTCAGTCGTGGGGCTTGAGCTCTGGGCTTGGGTGCTGTCCTTATGTGCTTCAGCTCAAGGCGAGCGCTCTACCGCTTGAGCCACAGCACCACTTCCGGTTTTCTAGCGGTTTATTGGAGATAAGAGTCTCACGAACTTTCCTGCCCGGGCTGGCTTTGAACCGCGATCCTCAGATCTCAGCCTCCTGAGCAGCTAGGATTACAGGCATGAGCCACTGGCACCCGGCTTAGGTCCTACTTCTTAAAGATTCTATTATCTCCCAGCAAAGCTATCCTCAGGGCATTATGCCTGCAACACATGGGGCTTTGGGGGAACACATCAAACTACAGCGCTAGTACCTATGCAACTGTGAGTAAGAAGAACACCTGTGCAAGACACTGAAGCTACAATTGTGAGCAAAGAGATGTCATGTTCTCCATTCCCATAGCCTGTAGCCTATTCAGGAAGATGATCCCAGTATAGACAAAACTGAACTGATACAAGTGAGTCTACCTCCTAAAGCTGTGTCATTTAACCTGATAACCTGAAGAACAGAGGTGTTACTGAAGGGCAAGTGTTAAACTATGTACTGCCTCTCATAAAGTTTTAGTTTAAAACATGCAGACCTGACTTCTATTGTGCAAAACCGAATACAAACAATTGCATTAAGGAGGTAGAAATAAAAATTCTGTGTGTTCTCAAGGAGAAAAAAAAAGCAGTTGTGGGGGTGGGAGATGGGAAGGGAGGGGAAGGGGAAACAAGGGAGGAGGCAACAATGCTTGATAAGAAATGTACTCATTATCTTGCCCATGTAATTGTAACCCCTCTGTATGGTATTTTCACAATAAAAGAAAATAAAAGCAGTACAGCTCTGATAAGGAAAGTTTCGCAAAGGAAGCAGAAAACCCTGAACATTGCTATGCTTATGATGTGTGGCATAAGTTCCAAATGGGAAAACTGAGTCTCCTGTCTCCTGATCCTTATTCCAGGCAATTCTTGCTCTTTATTTGAATCTCCAGCCTTTAGGACATGAATCTTGGGCATAGCCTAAGAAACATTGCAAGTTACATAAAAGGACAGGGGAAAATGGTGTGTATGTAAAAAACAAAAATAGCAAGTTGCACATGAACTTTTGCCCATTAGTTTTTGTAGTAGTTGGTGCAAAGGAAAAGAGAGTAGGAAATGGTGTGTCAGACATCATGGAAGATTCCACTTGGGAGAAACAGTGCAATTTACCTTCACACGGTAAAAGGCCCTCTCTGCATAAACACTGGTAAGCTGTTCCTGTGACAATATTAATAAACATGACTCACATAATTTGGTGACTTATATTATCAGAGTTTGGGAAAAGTTTCCTTAAATATGAAAGAACAACTTGACATAATGGTGTCTGGGGTTATGACTGTTCTCATGTGTTGGTGAGATGAAATGTATATCTCACCTTTTCCCTACATAGATGAGGCCAATCATAATCCACCTTTAACAGACCTTACTGGCTTTCTTTTTATCAACCTTTTCATGATTATGTCCCCAAAGTACATTTTCTCATAATATAGATTTACTTATTCAATATCTAAGTCTTTAGTTCTGACCAGGTAGCAATGTTTTCTATTTTTTTCAGCAAAATTAAAATGTTTGAGCTGGACACCAGTAACTCTGTAATTACCCTATAATACTAGGTACTTGGGAAGCTGAGAACAGGAGGATCAAGTTTCAGCCTGGACAGCCTGGACAGAAAAGTTTATGAGCTTCCTTCTCAACACATAGCTGAGTACAGTGGAACATGCCTGCCATCCTAAGTTGTGTGGGAGGCTGAAATTGGGAGGATGGCTGTTGCAGGCCAGTCCAAGCAGAGAAGTCCACAAGATGCCATTGGGATTTGAATTCAGAACTTGGGTACTGTCCTTAAAGCTTTTTAATTCAAGGCTGGCACTCTACTGCTTGAGCCATAACTCTTCTTCTGGCTTTTTGCTAGTTAATTTGAAGTGAGAGTCTCACTGACATTCCTGCCCCAGCTAGATTCAACTTCTACCCTCAGATCTCTGTCCCTTGAGTAGCTGGGATTATAGATGTGAGCCACTAGCCCTCAGTTAAAACTTTTGTTCTTATGTTCCATTCCTTCAAGGTTCATAAATATTCTATTATTATCAAGATCATAGGTGATACTGGTCCTTTTTCTAGAGATTACCAATGATCAGACATTGTAAAATCTTCCTTGTATGGCTGAATGAGTTGCACACACAAATTTGAGGTCTCAGAGACCTCAGTTCCCATGTTTACTCAATAGGCTAAGCAGTAAAATAACCCTTATCCAAATACTAGAAACTAATAAAATAAAACCCATGAAGATAGTCTGATAATTTGAGTTAATGTGCTACCTATACTATATTTTCCTATCTATATTTTAGTGGTAATATTTGCCTAGGGGAGCTTCCAGAGAACTCTTCCACAGGGAGGTGTTCAAGACCTTCATGAGGACATATAGTAAGGAGACTTGCTCATGCCTATTAGAACAGTGCCAACTCATAGCTACCTATTTACCTGCCCTGGAGCAAGATAGATTTTTTTAAATTAAACTGATACTTAATGAAGGGAATCACAAGTGAACTCTAGGTAAGCCGAAGTATATTTAAATGTTGAGTTCTCTTGAGAATGAGGTGCGTCCATGTCAACAATTCCAGGAATCCTACGTTGTTCTCTTTTATCATTTCCAGTAGAATATTAATGTCTTTTTCCCACTAGTACCATAATTCCTCACTGAGAGCCAGATCCATCACTTTCAGAGTATATCCACAGTCTCTTCCTCACTATCCACGCAACGTAGCTGGAATAACAAAGCTAAGACAGTCCTTCAGCATCCTCTACATATGCAAAGGAAGTAGCCTTCTTGAGGAAATGATTCCTAAAAATTCCATCTTAAGGGGCTGGAAAGGTAGCTCTTGTATGCATGAGGCCCTGGGTTCGATTCCTCAGCACATCAGCAGAAAAAGCCAGAAGTGGCGCTGTGGCTCAAGTGGTAGAGCGTTAGCCTTGAGCTGAAATGCTGAGGGACAGGGCCCAGACCCAGAGTTCAGGTCTCATCTAATTATGTCCTCATAAAACTTAAAAGTCAGACTTACAATTGGGGGAAAACAGCTCGTCATTACCAGGATCAAATAAGTGAACCACTCGGTCTCTTCCTGCCCTCAGACATCCCAGCTCAAGAAAGGGCATAACACTTAGCCAAGCAGCCAGTGTAGGAATAAAGCACTTGCAAACAATATTCCATGTTGGAATTCTGCCTGCTTTTGAAACTCAAGATTCTAGAGATGGCAATAGAAATGGAAGGTTTTGGGGGAACTGGGTAAACCAAATTAATGTTTTCAGGATCAGTCAGAGAAGTGAGCAGAAACTACACATAGAGGCTCTCTCCAGTGTTGCCAGGCAAACTGAAATTCCTTTATGCTGTAATGTCTAGCTCATTCATTTTGAAATTACAGATTTCAACTATTATACTCCCAAACAATGGTACTTTACAAATATTAGTGAGTTTCCCAATTTCTCTCCATTACTGTTGCTAGAGGTAATGATCGCCTTTGTAATTTTTAAGTACTATAATCTCCTTATTTAAAGAGAAAAAAATCACAAAGGTACATTATACCATGAATTTATATGCCTCCCCAGTAGACTGGCACTAAATTCTGGTTAATGTGGGTTGAAATCAGTAGGTTTGACAAGCATGGTTTTCTCATCAAGAACTTAAAAACACTGTGTTCCTTTTAAGGTGCCAAGACAGAAATAAGAAGCCCAAGGTTTTGGATGGCCAAGTGTCCCACCCCACAACCACTGAGAGGAATAAAAAGGCAGTTCCTACCTCGGTGACTGGTGAGCTCTCTGGAAGCAGAAGGCAAGGGTGTATAGTGGCGGTGCTCTGAAGAGGCAGCAATATCCCCACTAGAAGCCTGCATGATAAAAGCAAATGTTACCATGAAGCCACACCAAACAGTGAAATACCTCTGATTCCCAAATATGTCTCGTTGAGACATGAGCTCCTTGAGATCCGAGTTTGGAAGCAAGGTTTTTCTTTGTTAGGATGAAATTTCAGTAAGTGCGGAGGAGGGTATGAAGCTTTGAAGGGCCCCAGCCTAGGTGGAAAGGCTCTGAGACACGGGAGGGTTTGTTGGGCTCAGTGATGGGAGAGGAAGAAAGGAAAGGAGAGAGGCTGAAGGCAGGAAATGTTGTTGTCTTAGATTTCTGTGGAAGGCCTTCTCCCAGTAATTTCCTCAAAGTGCTGGCAACTGAGCAGATTTCTATAGAAACCAGCAAAGAGGCTAAGCTTTGCTCCCAGGGTGGGTGAGGAGAAAAAGGTCTAGATTCTGTGGGCCTACACAGATGGAAGTAGAGGCAAGTAAAAGACTTAAAACTCCACAGCTTTAAGTCACCATAGGGATGGATGTAAACTGTCAGTGTGCAACAGGGCTTAACAATAGCACTTAGATACCCATTTAGATTTGGGATAGAGACTGAGCATCTCTCACCTGAGATGCCTGGGTCCAGAGTATTTTGGATTTCTGCTCTTTTTCAGATTTTTTGGCATATTTTGAGGTATATCATCATCAGATACATAGAAATGGGACTCAAGTTTGAGTATACAATTTATGTTTCCCATAAATATCATCTACAGAGCCCAAAGCTGATTTTTAAACCATATTTTGGTGTTATCTTCATTTTGTCTGTTAACTTATCACACAATGTCAGGTATACTGTTTTCCCTTTGGAGTGTCAAGTTGAAACATTGCCGATTGACTTAGAGCCTGCTAGATTACACATTTTTTTTTAAAAAATTAGGGATAATCTGTTTTTATAATGGTTATCAACAAAACATTTTCGTTCCATGGCCTAAAATAAGTATATGAAGTATATGTGGGCTGCTGTGTATATAGGAGTCCTTGTTGTACAAACGAGTCTTTAACCATAGAAGTGTATGTAGACACTTGTCAAAACCAGCTGGAATGGCCCAGGCTGTTAATGTTCTCCTCAACCCAAAGTCCTGGTGGGCAAACTCAGAACCAAAGCATCACAGCTGTGGGCCTCCATGTCCACAGTAAGGGGACCAGTGTGTCACACTCAGAAGCATCACCATCATAACTCTTAACTGAGATTCCTAAACTAAAGGCAACTATTTTTTTTAATGTTCCCATCAAAGCGCATCTGCTAGGATCAAAATCCTAAGCTTACAACCTTTCCAAACTCCATGCAAAAGTAAAGTTCATTAATGCTATACTTTTTTTCTTTCCGGAATAGGAAATGCCCTCTGTGGGATATATTTACCCTGCTAAAAGCAAGCCTTTTCCCCTAAGAGATTACCTACATTATGGGAATCAAAACTAAGTAGGAGATTAGACATATTTGGTAGGAACACCCTTTAAACTTCATTTCTGACATTTGAGATGTTTGATTAAGCAGCTTTCAGTGGAGAATTATAGAAAGAAGTCTGAATGGGGAGAAATCAGAAGTTCTGTCCCTAGGTAGAAACAGATTTTAGGGGGCATTTTTTCACTCCAGCTCAAAGGTAAATATAAGGCAAATATATGGTGTTTAAAGCCTGATCCAAATGTATTGGATGAAAGTTCAGCAAGATGAAAGTTCAGTCCCAAGAAAAATGTTTTTACAGGTAGTAAGATTTTCTATATATTATATCATTAGGCATTTGGGATGCTGCATGCTTGTGACAGGGATAAACTGGATTAAATCAAATGCCAGGCTTTCGAGGTCTACTGCAATCTTGACATGAAGAATGAAATAATGCTAGGTTTTTGTTTTGTTTTTTTCTGTGTTTTTTAATAAATATTTTTAATTGTAAAGATACTGTACAGAGGGATTACAGTTAAATGAGTAAGGTAATGAGTACATTTCCCATCAAGCATTTTTACTTCCGATCCCCTCACTAAGAAGCTGTAAAGTTCATTTTCAACATAGTATCTTGTACATCACATTGTTATAATGGTCAACCTATATCCTTATTTCAGCATTTTGTTATTTCCCTGTCCCTCCCCAAATTAGAAAAATATATATATACAAGATGTAGGTCACCACAAATACAGTGAAAACAGGGGTTATAACATGGGGGAAGAACACACAAAAGAAACAAAAAATCACATAGTACATTATAGGTACATTAAAAACAACAGCAACAAAGATAAAACCTCTTGTGTCCCTATCTTGAGGCTCATTTTGCTTAGCATCATCTTATATGGTCATATGTACATAGCTTTTGACCTTTTCTGCTTGTACTAGACATATACTAGTTATTGCAGATAAGGGAAACCATGGGACCTATGTTTCTTTTGGCCTGGCTTACTTACTTAATATAATTTTTTCCAAGCCTTTCCATTTTCTTTTTGTTTTAATATAGAATATTGGAGTTTTTATTATACAGTTAACAGGCTGCAGACAGCCAGTTGTTACAAAGACCTGCAGCACACAAATACACATAACACAGCTAGGAAACATGCTAAAGAAGAAAGAAATAACAAGAAAAATATCAACAAGCCAATTCAGCTCCAATGGAGAGCTGAATTGGGACTCCATGATGACTGGAGACAAACCAGGGGACAGGACACAGGACAGGATTACAGAGACACACATGGCATGGAGTCCAGTGGCTAGGCTGGTCCAGGCCTAAATAGGTCGGCGCAGGGGGCAGATCCTCAGGAAATTCCCAGTCCCAGGCACTAGACTGACAGATTCAGTAACCTATCAGCCAAGTGCCTGCCCCTGCCTCCTGGATCTGGACACACTCATTACCTAGGAGGCAAGTGATGAGGGAGGGAGGGCGGGTTTCCTTCCCCCAGCATGAAGACAAGATGCCAGACCTATAATCCATTATGTGGCCAATATGGCGCTGGCCAGACCTGACCTCCCTAATTCATTCCCTCCTTTTTTTCTTATGCACATGAAATCAAATCATTGATTTTCTGCAAAAGGACCAAATTAAGTCTTTCCATTTTCTAACAAATGGGGCAATGTCATTCTTTCTGATGGAGGCATAGAATTCTATTATATATATGTACACATATATGTATATATTTTATATATACATATATTATATTTATATATATAATATTTATATTATATATAATATATACATATATGTGTACACACACACACACACACACACACACACACACACACACACACACACACACACACACACACACATATATACCACATTTTCTTGATACATTCATCTACTGAGGGGTATCTGGATTCGTTCCATATCTTAGCTATGGTGAATAATGCTACAATAAACATAGTTGTTCTGGTAGCTTTAGTATGGCCTTGTTTGTGATCATTTAGGTAAATGCCCAAAAGTGGGATTGCTGGGTCATAGGGGAGCTCTATGTGGAGTCTTTTGAGGAACCTTCATACTGCTTTCCAAAGTGGTTGAACAAGTTTACACTCCCACCAACAATGCAGTAGGGTTCCCTTTTGGCCACATCCTCTCCAGCATCTGTTGTTATTAGATTTCCTGATTATAGCCATGTTAACTGGAGTTAGGTGGAATCTCAAAGTTGTTTTGATTTGCATTTCTTTTATGGTTAGAGAAGTTGAACATTTCTTCATGTGTCTATTGGCTATTCTTATTTCCTCCTCAGAGAAGTCTCTCTTTAAGTCTTTAGCCCACTTATTTATTGGGCAGTTGTTTCTTTAAGAACTTGTTGTTTGAAGATTTAATTTTTTGAGTTCCAAGTATATTTTAGATATGAGACCCTTGTCCATTGTATGGCTAGTGAAGATATTCTCCTAATCCCTGGGCTTTCCCTTGATCTTGCTAGCTATGTCCTTTGCCGTGCAGAAACTCTGCAGTCTCATGCAATCCCATTTGTTTGATCTTTCTTTGATTTGTTGTGTTTCTGGGTCTTTATTAAGAAAATTTCAGCTGTGTCAAGAAGCCCTAAAGTTTCTCCTATTCCTGTAATGTTTTCGGGGTGTCTGCTTTGACTTCAAGGTCTTTGATCCATTTGGAGTTGATTCTGGTGCAGGGTGATATAAGGATCTAGCTTTAATTTTCTACTGTGTTTAACCAGTTTTTCTAACACCATTTACTGAAGAGGCTGTCTTTCTTCCATTCTATTCTTTTAGCTCCCTTATTGAAGATTAGGTGGCTTATAGGTCTGTGGGTTCATTTCTGCATCTTCAGTTCTATTCCATTGGTCCTCAGGTCTGTTCTTGTGCTATTTTGATTACTATGGCTTTGTAGTAGCATTTGAAGTATGATATTCCTCCAGCACTGTTCTTTCTGATAAAGATTATTTTTCTGATTCAGGGTCTTTTATTGTTTCATATAAATTTTGGGGTTGCTTCTTCTATTTCCTTGAAGAATGAGGTTGGAATATTGATAGGTATCGCATTGAATTTGTAGATAGCTTTGGGAAGTATTGCCATTTTCATGATGTTAATCCTCCAAATCCAGGAACATGGGAGGTTCTTCCACTTCCTTAGTTCTGCTTTAATTTCCTTTTTCATGTTTTTAAAGTTTTCATCATAGAGGTCCTTCACTTCTTTGGTTAAATTAATTCCTAGATATTTTATTTTTTGTGAGGCTATTACAAATGGAGTTGCTTTCCTGATTTCAGCTGCACTCTTCTCATTGTTGGCATATAGAAAAGCCATTGATTTTTGTTTTTTTGGTCAGTCATGGGGCCTGAACTCTGGGCCTGGGCACTGTCCCTCAGCTCTTCAGCTCAAGGCTACAGCTCTACCACTTGAGCCACAGTGCCACTTCCAGCTTTTTCTGTTTATATGGTGCTGAGGAATCAAACCCAGGACCTCATGCATGCAAGAAAAGCAACCTACCACTGAGCTACCTTCCCAGCCCAAAGACATTGATTTTTGAGGATTTTATACCCTGCTACTTCGCCAAAGTTTCGGATCATCTCGAGTAATTTGGGAGTGGAGT